GAACGGGAAGGGGGCGAGCACATATTAGAAGGGAATTTCGTAGAGAAAGCACTTTTTCTGTACTTTGGGGAGGCGGAAGGGGAGAGGAAGGACTAGGAAATGCTTGCAAGGGGAGAATAGAGAGGAAATGAGAAAAATGCTTATTTTCTTAACATCTGCATAAAATATTATGCTAAGGTTGTCAGAAGTTACCACCTTGTTCCTTAAAAGAAGATTTTAGATATGCTGTGGAAGAAAGATCCTCAATGAACACAGGGTCTGAGGACTTGGGTGGTGCATACATCTCTGGCAGGACCCTCATTGCTGGGAGGGAGCTGTCATCTCAGGAAAGGGGTCAACTTGAACTCTATAGCCAAAGAAGACATTTGGTTAGATTGGCTGGACTAAATGACCTTCCCTTCAGTCAAGGGATTTGCGTTAACCTTAGGTTCTGGAGCAATGACTGACTTGTGAGGATGGAGGGATGTGAGGACAAAGTTGGAGTCAACATACCCTGAAGCCCTGTGCCCTCCAGCCCCTGATGGCATGACCACTCAGCTCCCTGGCTCTCCAGTGTTCAGGCCGCTTGTGTCCTGTGCTCTGCGTCTCCCTCCTGGCATCGTCTAGGGAATAGGCTTTGTTCTTCTCAGTGTTTTAGGTGGCGCTTGGAAACTCCCTGGCACTCAAGGTCTCAGAGCCATGGGTGAGTGTGACCTGCTGTTAATGGATGAAGAGACATGAGTAATTTGCCCAGAATGTTTGGTGATCCCAACGCCAGAGGCAGGGCACAGGATGAGTTTGCATCTAACCAGCGGGGGGCCTCTGACCTCCAGGTCCAGGGACCACAGATTACAAACTAGGGAGGTTGAGTGGGTCTTTGTTGAACACCCAGCAGCAGACCTGTGCCCTCTTGGAGACCTGTCCTGTGGGAGGCCAGGGTCACTGAGCCCCCAAGACTAACATGGCATTTGCCAGCGATTGCAGACTTACCTTTTCCTTTTTATAAAATATAAGGAGGGCCTCCCTGGTGGCGCAGGCGGTTGAGCGCCACACTGTGAAGCTGTCTGCAGCCTCTGCAGTGCAGTTCCATCTCGGCTGGCTGGCGAGGGTCCCACGTGGCAAAGCAGACCTCTCCTGTCTCGCCCGCTGCTCCCCTCAGCAGTGTATTTCGTCGATCTGCCTGTTCTGTTCCCCGCTGTGTCTCGGTGAGTCCTCTCACCCTCTCGCGCATCCGGCCTGTACCCTGGTTCTTGTATAAATAAATAAATCTTTAAAAAAAAGAAATACTTATAAAATATAAGGGAAGGCATTTTGAGACAAGCAGATCTCACAAAGATTGACAGCCTCAGACGGTGAGTTAGGGCTCTCCCTACAAGTTCCCTGGACATATGGAAGCTAAAATGTTTACATCCCACATACCCCTGCTTGTCACTGACCTCAAGAGAGTGTCTACGTTCCTCCTCCCTCCTCCGGGGGTGGAGCACACGGTCCTTACCAGACTTTCAATACAGTTACTTGGTGTCAGTAGGACTCATAGACTCAACCATTTCTACTTTATTTAGTGGGTTGTAATCCAATATTATATTTATTATATCTATTTATTTTAAGTGCAATTTGTTCCCAGTTTGGACAGTGCCAGCCTCTCTGGGCCAGCTCCAGTGTCCCTGTGACATGCCCCTGTTGTCTCTGGGCTGTCCCTTACTTTCCTGAGAAAAAGGTAAAAAAACAAGAAAAAAAGAAAAAGAAAAGATATTGAGGTTCATTTGGTATCATCTGACTGAGAGCAGAAATCAGCATGTCTGTGAGGAAACCTGGTTTCTTTTACTAGGACACAATATTGTAAAACTAAGACCGGGTATTGGGCGTGACACTGCCTTGGAGGCCTGCTCAGGTCCTCCCCATGGACAGAGCTGGGAGTGTATGGATGTGTGTGCGCACAACTGACATTTATTTCCCTTTGTCTATTTATGTCTTCTCATTGGAAACCATGAGTTACGACTCCAGTCCCTGTGCCTCAACACAGCGTTTCCTCTTTTTTTCAAGTTAGGAAACCCTTCCTCTGGCTGTCAGATGTCGGGCTCCCACTGTTATTACCATTGATGCCCACCTGGTCAGCTTGCTATACTAACCCATCGCCATTACCTCTCCTACCCCCTGACCTTCTCACCCTCTTCACATATAACACTGGGCTGCCTGGTGTTTCTGTCGTGGCTCTGCCCACACTGCACACTGTCCTCACAGGTCTGCCAGGCGGTCCCCGGGACTCCATAAGTTCGTGCTGCTTTGTTCCCCCCACTATGAGTGGTGTCCACTCATCTTGTGGTCAAAGCTTAGCTTGCTATGAGGCCTCCCTTCCTCTATGTCTTCTTAGCCCATCACCACCACCCCATACTCGCTCTCAGGATATATCCTGATCTAGCTGTGCCACCCATGTCCCTTACGAGTGGTCTTCAGGTCACCAGAACACACGCACCTTGTTGTGATCTCGTGGCTCAACTCCTGTCATCAGAAGTGTCCTCCTCCCATCACAGCCCCGTCACCATCTCTCTCCAGGTTCCCACGTTGGACTCAGTATGGCCTCGTAATGCTGGCTGCATGTATCCCCACCATCAGAAGTAAAGGTAAATAGATTTTCATTGTATTTCCTGCAGTGTCAGCACACAGACTGCTCATCAGCGTTTCTAGAAAGATGGAGCAGCTTCCAGTGCAGAATCCTGGAGTCGTGAGTGGGTGGACCCTTTCCCCTACCATCCTTATGTCTGGGTTGAGCCAGCCATAACCTGGGGTGCCTGTCTCCATTTCAGTGTGGGGATCCAGGCGAGGTTGGTGATGCAGTTGTGAGGTCTACTGCTGGAGCTAGCCCTCCCAGGCTGGACCCTGACACCCCGAAACCCATCCTCTGGAGGAATAACTTCACTTTGTTCCTGGGGATTTGTTGCAGCCTAAGTCAGAAGTATGTGGTCAGGTCGGTGAGAAGAATGGAAGATTGTCCAGTCTGGCAGCCATTTGTGGGGAAAAGTCCAGTGAGACTGGGATTGTTTGCACCTGGAGTACTTGGCTCCATAGCTGTCCTGGCTTTTGCATTCCCCTGGGGTCCTCAGATTGAATGGCCCCAAGCCCTCATGCCTCTGCATGTTTCTGGGTCATCTGAGACCAGATGTGAGTAGCCAACATTGACAGCAGGGAAACTGCACAACAGAACCTTTTCATTTCTGCCCCAGCATTTGTTTCCCTTGCTCTGTGTTGGGTGGAAAGCCTCAGACAGAGGTTAAGTCTCACAGGCATGAGACCAGTGACCACACTACAGAGTAGGGCCTCCAGAGGAGATCTGCCCCACATCTTGCAGGGTAATTTACAGTCTCAGAGGTCCAGCAGGAAGCAGATCTGCTGAGTTCAGAAAGATCCTAGTTTCCTCTAGAAAGGAGACTGGGAATCCCCCAGGATCCCGGAGTGAAGCCCTGAGCAATGGCTATGCATAGAGCAGGAGCCTGGCCTGGGGGACAAGGTTGGAGAAGTTGGCAAAGTGGGACATCACTGATGGGTTTCTGTTCACTTGGGCGCTGGTGTTCGAGACTTCGGCTAAGAGACTGTGTCTGATCACTGATGTTGTTTGTTTGTGGTGAGGTGTATCATGTGCGTGTGATTTTATTACTAGTGATCATGTACAGGGATTTTCTCAGTGATTCATTTTATTTTATTATTTTTTAAAGATTTATTTATTTATTTATACAAGCACTGGGTAGAGTCAGAAGCGTGGGAGGGTGAGAGAATTCACCAGAGCCAGAGAGGGGAGCAGAACAGGCAGACCGACCAGGTACACTGCTAAGGGGAGCAGCGGGTGTGGCAGGAGAGATCTGCGCACCATGTGGGACCCTCGCCAGCGCCGGGGATCAAACCGGTGCCATGGAGGCTGCGGGCAGCTTTGCAGCCCAGTGCTCAACCGCTGCGCCACCGGGGAGGCCCTGAATGATTCATTTTAGAAAAGTAAGAGGAGATTCAGGGTGTCCTTATGTAAACCACCATTTGATTTCCTGCCTGGCATGCACTGGCTGGGGGCTGGGGGCGGGGGTGGTAGTGGCGGGGGAGGCTGTGCCCATGACCTTTATTTCAAGAATAATATACTGAGTTGGTTCTCAAGGTAAAGGGGGCGTCATCATGTTGGGGATTACCTGTTTTCTGCTGGGGTTCAGCTTCCTCCTGCTGCTTGTGTGGTAAGTTTGGTAGTGACTCAGATGACCTCTGGAGTTTGTACCGTGTGCCTCTGGACAGCAGAAGAATGTGCTTTGTGTTCAGTGTGTAGACCCTGCTCTGTGCTCAGTATTGTGTTAGAGGCTGGGGATTAGAAATGAAGGTGGTATGGAATGCAGGGATCCTGCAGTCATATGGGGGAGAGTAATGAACTATGTAGAAATAGGGCTGAAAGATGTTTTCAAAAACTGAAGTTTTAGTGTGCTATAGGAAAAGTGAGTAATGAATGAAACTAGACAATGATGAATTAATGCAGAGAAGTATGAATAATCATCCAATTTGTGGGTTGGGGGAAATAAGAATGAATGGTGTCTCTGTGAGGAATCAGAACCCAGGATGGTGCGTTCCTGGTTTCTTTGTGGTTGAAAGTAGAGGAACAGTTTTCTTGTTCCACCACAGAAATGGAAAGCTAGACATTCAATGCCAGAACCTGAGAGGTTAATGCTGGCGCTAAATCGATGACTGGAATTTGCACATGTGTTAACCATAAAGGCCTGGGTCTAGCCCACCCAGACTGTCTCCTAGGCTAAGACATTTGGAGTTGCATGTGGAGTTGCAGATCTGAAGTCCGACCCACGAAGGCGGGAGCTGTGGGCTAATCACAGGTTATTAGACCCACACCAGTGCTGGGTGCTAAGGAGGCCAGGTCTCAGTCTGAGGCTTGAGGCCCCTGGCACTCTGTTCCCATGAAGGGTCTCTCCTACTGCACCCTGCAAAGGGCAAGAGGAGGCCTCAGTCTAACACGATCAAGACAGTTTTTCCTTCTTGTAAGGGGTTAGGATCATCAGAGTCTCCTGGTGGAAAACAGAGAGCCGAGACCTGCTGCCAGGAGACCCCATCCTGTGGGATGTGATGCCCATTAGAAAGACTGTTCTGCTTGTGGGTCATGTCCATCCTCCCTTCACAGCCATCCTGCTTCAGGTCGTGACCCTTCCTCTTTTTAGGTGTCTGACTTTATCTTCCCGTGATACCCTCCCCAACATCGTGGTCACCTTCTCCTACAATCCAGCTTTTCAATTTCTTTCTAAAATCCCAGACACAGAGGGGAAAACAGGACTCTGGAGGTGGGATGTGACTTTCAGGGAGCAGGAGTACACTCACCATGATAGGGATATGTGTTTCATCCTCCTCCCCCTTATAGAAGGCCCCTTAATCATTTGCTGGAACACCGACTTGATCCCCCTTTTCCAGCAAAAGCTTTTCTTAGTTGAAGAGCCAAATGGGAAAAAAAAAAAAACCTTTTTCTGCATGCTGTTTTCCTTTCCAAACCCTCTGCTTGCAATGTAGATTACCAGGGACCCTGACCATTACAGATGCAGGTTTACTGGACAATAGACAAGATTCTAAAACCCCAAAGCCAAAGAGCCTGTAGGTTTTGATTTCCAGCCCAGGTCGGCATGCTTGAAGTGGTCTGAACTAGTCAAGCTGCAGCATCAGCCAAAGGCCTTGGTAATTCAGTGGGATGGCAGAGAGAGTTTGCCCCCCACCCCCTGCCTGGGAAGGCGTTTCTCCACCACTTTCCCTGGGTTTGGCTGAGAAGCCTTTTGCCTCCTCTCTGGAGCCGCGGTCTGGGGCGGAGATGGGGGGAGGGAGGGCTAATTCGTGTCAGATGTAGGGACGCCAGGGAACCCTATGCTAGCTCGCCTGGCTTTTGTTCCAGATATCAGACTTCTGACGACAGAGTGGAGTTGGAGGTAGCGGACGCATCCTTTTGGGCTTCTTGGGGTGAATCCTTTGCCGGGACACACAGAGGCAAAGGCACAGGAGGCATCCCTGCCTTGCACCGCAGCTAGGGAGGGTCAGCGTCCGCAGCGGCTGACCTGACCTGGCCCCCTGGACAATCTGTGGGCCGCCATGCGGCTGCGCGCCCTGACCTCTGGGCCTCCTGGAGGGTGCGCGCGCGGGAGTCGGGCGCGCCGGCACCGGCGCCAGGTGAGTGGGACCGAGGATCTCCAGCCGGGTATGCACAGCGCTTGGAGTGCGGGCGCGAGGTGCCGGGGATCATGGAGACGTGGCGCTAGGGCATCCTGCGCTCAGAACGGGGATGGGGGGTTGGGGAGACGCTGGATGCTCTTAGGTCGGTGCGCAAGTGCCTCTGTGTGAGTGTGTGTGTGTGTGTGTGTGTGCGCGCGCGCGCGTACTCTTATCAGCGAGCGTGTGCAAGGCTGTACGTGTGTACTTGAGCCTTGTCTGCGCGTGCACTTTCAAGTTCACGCATATGCTCTTTGCGCGTGCCCTTGTGTAGCACCATGTCCATGAGTGCTGGTGTGTCTTTTTACGCGTTTGTGCACCTTTGCACGTGTGCCCCTGTGCTCGTGTGTCCCTGTGTGCGCGTGTGTCCCCTGTGCCCGCGCATGTCCGTTTGTGCACATGTGTTCCATTGTGCGTGTGTTTTGTGTGTGCTTGCAGGAGAGGGTAAAAGTAGAACCTTGCCTGTAGGCATGAGCCCGGGGTGAGGTCCCTGGGGGTGGGAGCCAGTTTAGACTTCCCTTTTTAATCCAACTGCATCTTCAACACCCTTCCTGGGGAATAAAGTGGAACGTTGGCCATTGTGCAGGCTTGTAACACAGCCTGCCTATCTCGCAAAGGAAAAGAGTGCTTAGCTTCCCTGGAGTCTGGCATGCCCTGGTAGGTTGGACCAGTACAAGTATACCAGGTCCACAGTACTAATCTGTGGCCCAGGGGCCAAGTTCCACAACATTTGAATGAAGCCAAAAGAATCAGGAAGAAGCTCCCCAGTCAGTTTGGCTACTCTTTCTTTGAGACTATTAATTAGCAATTTATGGCATTTGTAAAGTTTTGAGGAGGGAGAGAGAAGTCCTCAAAATGTCCCTCCTTTACTCTCTTTGAGATGCACTGCATTTGGATTTTCAGTTTAACAACCAAATGCTATTGTTGGAAAGTTTGGGAACAATGTGTAGTGTGTGCCATGATTTTTGTACCCCCTCTGGGGTGGAAAAGCCTCCTAGCAGGTTTATGATGAAGTCTGGAGTCCACTGTGCAAGGGGCAGAAAGTTTCATGGCCCTTTACATTTTTCAGAAGCTATACAATTTGCATCTTTGCTCAGTCTCTTTCTCCCTAGAATGCTGCTGGCGAAATGTGCATACTTGCCTAAATCCTCCTTCTTGAGAGGAACACAGAACTTTGAATTCGCTGATTTAGCCTGGTGTCTTTGTGTAGTAACTGTTTTGTTACTACAGCATTTGGCCTGGAGAAACTAGTGGAGACGCCAGTGGTCTGTGCAGTTTTGCATTTCTACAGAGCCTAGCCAAGGGTTACCCTTCTTCTTTCAAAGTTGCACTTCCTTGCTCAATTTTGCAGATTTTTTTTTTCTTTCAAAAAAGAGACTCCACAATCAAGACCGGCACTAATTACGGTGCACCCCTCAGGGAGCCCTTGCGGAGCCGGCACCATGCTCACTACCCTTCCAACTTTCTGCTGCTAACAATTAAATGCAATTTAGATTCCTGAACTGAGCCTGCTAAATGCTTCAGTACTGTGGACTCCCCCTCCCCCTTGCACTCATGGTCCCGCCTAGTTGGGGAGAAATGAAAGCAGAGTACCAGGTGAAAACAAAAGCAGGCTAATCCTGTCTAGGCTCATTTCACAATGGAGATGTTATATACAGATGCAGTGTGAACAGATGTTATTCCACTATCCGAAATGAATTCCTCAGGGATCCAGCAATTGAAATGACTTCAGCCTCCCAACAGCACCTCTGCTGTTTGCTCCCTTCAGTCCTAGCTGTGGGCCAGGGGCGAGAGCCACAGGAACACAGTGCCTCTTTCTCCTTGGTTGTAATAAAGGTATCTGTAAGGAATACAAGGTCACTGTATCCCCCATTGGCCCACAGACTGTGGCTAATTCATTCGGTCAACAAATATTAATTGAGGGTCCATGGTTCAGTGTGTGCCAGGTGCTTTGCCGGGCTATGGAGCGCCATAGCAAAAGAGCCCTGTGTCTTGCCTCCAGGAAATTGCAATCAAGCACAGGAGAGAAGACATATAAACAAATCACTGCAATGAGGGATGAAAAGTATGTGCCAGCTGGGGATTACTCTGGAGGGGTGTGTTTGTCAGATACTTGAATGTCTACTCCTGTCTGAGCATGAGGGTGGGTGGAGACAGGGACTGAACCCTACCTTATCCATTGGCTGTGCAGCCTTGGTCTTACAATCACTCCTGTTTGTAGAACAGTGATGGTCAGAGTTATCGCATAGAAGGGCCGTGCTAATGTTTTGAGCTTCATAATAGTAGCACCTTTAATCCCTCTTTTGCAGGCATTAAATACAGGACCACTGCTATCAAAAACTGTAAAATGACTTTTGGAAAAACCAGACACAAACAGAGCAAGCACATAATAACAGTGCCTTTCATGTATAGAACACAGCCTTATAGTGGAGCCCATTATGCAGTGGTGATCTCAGTTTTGGCTGCGGTTTAGAATCATGAGGGAGTTTTGAAAAAATTCCTGCTCTGGCTCCAATTTCAGATAATCTGATTTATTTTACCCGGGTGGCACTTAGGTGTTTAATAAATTGCCTGAGTGATACTCATAGACTGACAATGTTCCCAACTGATTCATGGTATAATATTTGGTGATTTGCAGTAACTGTTAATAGGCAGGGGAGGGAAGGTTCCTTTCCATTAAGAAGAAATGACTTGGTCAGGATAACAGAGTTTGTACTGCAGGTGACAAAACCTGCAGGAGGGCATCTACTTGGTGCCGGACCCTGTCCCTCATTTGACAATCTTGACAGGATCAACAAAAAACATAAGGTTAGACATGGTTAGGCTAGACATGGTTATGATAGGAAACTACAGACTGCCAGCGTTCTGGGAGCTTGAAAGGCAGGAGTGTTTGGGATGGGCAAAGCATACTTTGAAATTGAGTGAAATCTGACCTCTGGCAGAGTCATTCCTCTGCCAGTTCCAGCCCATTGATGATGGCTTGGGAGTTCCCCACTGAGAAGGCTAGTAAGGCCCATGGAGGACTAGAGCTGTTTTATCTGTGATCTGTGTGCTCAGTTTTTACTGTTTCTTTGGAAGATCTCAGGGGAGTATTTGTTTCATTGAAAATTAGCATTCAAAATGTCCATTCAAACCCCCTATTTGTTAGTTATGCGGGACCCCAAGAGTAGAGTAGAGTACACTTTGATTGTAACTCTGCTTCCTGATTTTGCACTGAAGACAAAATTTCAAAATAGAAAATATATTGGGCCTCCCGGGTGGCGCAGCGGTTGAGTGCTGGATTGCGAGGCTGCCTGAGCCTCTGCCTGTTTGATCCCCGGCTGCCCGGCGAGTGTCCCACATGGCCCGCAGACCCCTCCTGCTGCCCGCTGCTCCCCTCAGCAATGTACTTCGTCCATCTGCCTGTTCAGCTCCCTGCTCTGGCTCTGGTGAATTCTCTTGCCCTCCCGCGCTTCTGACTGTACCCAGTGCTTGTATAAATAAATAAATCTTTAAAAAAAAATAGAAAATATATTAGATTGTATACTTAAGTAGGTGTAATCTTCAAAGTTGTTTTGGCAATCCTGGGTGCTTTGCATTTATATATGAATTTTAGAATCAGTTTGCCAATTAAAAGAAAACGCCTGCAGATATTTTTTTAAAAAGATTTTATTTTTATACAAGAACCCGGGGTACAGGCCAGAGTCACGGGAGGGTGAGAGGATTCACCAGAGACAAAGCGGGGAGCAGAGCAGGCAGATGGACCTAAAGCACTGCTGAGGGGAGCAGTGGGTGAGACAGGAGAGGTCTGCCTCACCATGTGGGTTTCTCCCTGGCTGGCTGGGGATCGAACCGGCGCTGTGGAGGCTGTGGACAGCGTCACAGCGCTGCTCTCAACTCGCTGCGCCACTGGGGAGGCCCAACCTTAACCACCTCTTTAAAGATACTTTATTCAAATACAATCATATTTGGGGGTAGGGTTTCAAAATATGAATTTTGTGAGGACACAATTCAGTCTATGACAAGGGATAACAAATCTTCTATGTGTTTACATTTGTCTTTTTCTCTTTGCAATTCCATTACTTTTTCTTCATGTACTTTGAAAGTTTTGTTACTAGCTATTTACATCTTTAGAATTGCTGATTAATTGTCCCATTTATAATTATGAGATAATTTTCTATGTTGTTAGTAATATTTTGTGATGTGGAACTTACTTTGATATTAATACAGGAACTCCAGCTCTCTTTTGATTAATATTATGCTGTATTTTCCCATTTTGTCTTTAAATATATATATAATATAATATCTGACAATTCCTAACTTTCAATTAAGCTGTTTAGACTATTTACATTAATTAATTACTAATATAGTGAAGTTTGTCTTTCATCCTGTACCTGTCTTCTACTTATTACATCTGTTCTGTTTCTCACCCCTCTTTTTTTTTCTATTTTTAGATGAAATAATTTTTTCATGATTTTTGTCCTTTGTTGGATTATTATCTATAAGACATACTTTAGTAGGTGCTTCTAGTTTTATAGTTTAACTTTATAACTTACCACATTGTATGTTCATTCTTTTGTGTAAAGTCATATTTCCATCTGATATCATTTTTTTTGCTCATACTATCTTTAACACATCTTGTGGTGTGTGTCAGCTGTTGGTACATTACTTTAGTTTTCTGCTTTTGTATAGCTTAAGAAGGTTTTATTTCTTTGAAAGATATTTTCACTGGGTACAGAATACTAGTTTGGCAGATTTTCCTTTCTGTACATTATATTGCTCCTCTGTCTCCTTTCTGTTTTTTTTTTTTTAAGATTTATTTATTTATGCATATAAGAACTGGGGTACAGACCAGAGGTGTGGGGGAGGGGTGAGAGGATTCACCAGAGATAGAGTGGGGAACAGAGCAAGCAAATTGACTGAAATACACTGCTGCGGAAAGTGGCGGGTGGGTCAGGAGAGGTATTTTGCTCCATGTGGGTAGCTAGCTCCCTGCCTGCCCCAGGATCGAACTTGTGCTGCAGTGGCTGCGGATGGCTTCGTAGGTTGCGTCTTAACCCCTTGCGCCACCAGGGAGGCCCTGTTTTTTCTTTAAATGAGAAATCTGCTGTTATCCTAATGGTTGGTTCTCTGAATATACTGTATTTTTTTTCTTTTTTTGGTTATGTTTATTTTAACATAGATGAGAAAACTTTTTGACTACTTTCAAGTTTTTTTTCTCTTTACCATTAGATTTGACCAATTTGATTATCATGTTCCTTGGTGTAGTTTATGTCACTTTTTTTGTGCTTGGGATTTGTTAAGTTTCTTTGATCTGGAAATTTATTGTTTTCCTCACATTTTTGAAAAATTTTAGTCATTATTTCTTCAATATCCCTCCACCCATCCAGCCTTCTTCAGGGACTCCATTTATATGCTCAGTGATGCTTTGTTTATTCATATATTTGTTTATTTACTTAAGATATCTCTTCTTTCTGTACTTATTGTAGGTGTTTTGATTGGGATTCCTTCCAATTGGCTAATATGTTTTTCTGCAATGTCCAATTTGCCAATAGCCCTGTCTATATTTTTTGCCTCATATTTTTACATTTTCTTCTATAGGTAAGTTTAATTTGTGGCTTTTTATCTTTTGAATTCCTGTTTACTTGTGTTAAAGATATGCAATGCAGTTATAATACCTCTCTTAATATCCTTTTCTGCTAATTCTAGTGTTTTTGTCAGTTCAGGGTTACTTTTAGTTGATTGATAATTCTCATTGTGGGTTGTATATATATATATTTGTTGTTGTTGTTATTTTGCATGCCTATTTGCTTTTGATTTAAAAGCCGAGTAATTTTTTTGAATAAATAGCAGCTGCTGTTTTTTTACCTTATTAGGTGCTGGATTTTTTTTTTTTTATTCTAGAACTTTATCAGAATGGAATTAAGTTACTTGGAGACACTCTCATCCTTTTTGGGTACTGCTTTTTTTGATATGGTAGGTTGGACAAGAGAAAAGCTCAATCTGGAGCTAATCATTCCCCAGAATTAAGGCAAGATTCTTTTGTATTTTTGATGCAATATTTACTACATGATTTTTGAGCATTTTTGGTCTGATTGTGGAAGCAGGCATCATTCACAGCCTGTGTAAGCTCTCAGCACTCTTTCCTCTAATCCTTTCTGGTGGTTCTTTCCCAATTTTAGGTAACTTCATCATATGTGTGCATGCACACACACGTGTGCTCACCAGTACTTAGCTGAGTGTTTCAGAAGGTCCTTCTGTAGATCTTACGAGTTCTGTGCATCTCTCTGTTCTCTGTTGTTGATGCCTTCTTCTGCCTGGGCTCTTAGCTCTGTCTCCTTGATCCAGGTAGTACACTGGATTTCCCCTTCCTTCTTTGCACCCTTAAAAATGGAGACTCTGGGACAATCATAGAGTTTACCTCATTTTTTCCCCCTAGTCTCTGAGGGGTCATATCACTAATCTTCATTTTCAGATGTAGTGTCATAAAAAACGGTTGTTTCATTTAAATGATTGCTTTGTTTATTTGGTGTTTTTTTTTTTTTTTTTTTTTTTTTTGGCTATTTCAGGTGTACACTAAATCTAGTTACTTACTAGTTCTCCATCTTGGCCTGAAGAAGGAGTTCCTATGGACATTAGAAAACAAACAAAACAGGGCCTCCCTGATGACGCAGGTGGTTGAGTGCCGCACTATGAAGCTGTCCACAGCCTCTGCAGCGCGGGTTCGACCCCAGCCGGCCGGGGAGAATCCCACATGGCACAACAGACCGCTCCTGTCTCCCGCTGCTCCCCTCAGCAGTGTATTTCGTCAGTCTGCTTGTTCTGTTCCCCGCTCTGTCTCTGGTGAATCCTCTCACCCTTCCACGCATCTGGCCTGTACCCCAGCACTTGTATAAATAAAAAATAAATCTTTAAAAAAATACAAAAAACAGAACAAAAACTGAATTGCTATCAAGTTGTTTAACATTGTTTTACAGCATTTTCAACTATATTGTCCATATATTTCTGTATGTCTCATTATTACTATATTTTAGACACAAAAAGGTAAAACTGTGGAGCACACAGTTTAATGTTTTTAAATAGATATCCCCCTGGATAACTGATGAGGCACACTAACTTTTACCCTAGAAAGTTTTCTTATGCCTTTTGCAGCCAATATGCTCTCCTATAGGAAACTACCATTTCGTTCTGTTAACATAGATTAGTTTGCCTGTTCTTCCCCCTTTTATAAAGAGAATCATTGAGTGTGTGCTCCTGTGTGTGACTTCTTTCACTCAGTGGGTAATGCTTATGAAGGTCACCCTTGTTTGTAGTTTGTTCTTGTATTCCTGAATAGTACTCCATTGCATGAATACCATGTCTTGGTTATTTAGTCTCCTTCTGATGAAGATTTGGGTGTTTCCTGTTTGAGGTACTTTTTTTTTAATATTTTATTTTATATAATTCTTACATCAATTTTCATTTTTGCACAATGTATGCATTTTCATTTTGGTTATATGAGGTACTTTTAAGTAAGGCAGGGATGACCATCTTTGTGCATGTCCTTTGTATGCAGGAGTTGAGGTGCACTCATAGGCTTGGTGTTGTCAAATGGTTACACTTGTTTCACTTTCTTGACAGTGTTTTATCTTCTCAGTGAGTTTTAGCTTTCCTACTGGTGCAGACTTGGTGAGTCCGTGGGGATTATTACTGCTAGAATGCACTGTCACCTATCAGCAGGTAGATGTGTTTATTTGGTTTCTAAAGCAATTTGATTGTTTATAAGATCATCAGATTGAGCTGTGAATCTTGACTCTACAAACATGCACTTGGTAGATGAGTGGTTCATTTTCTCCTTGTTCAATGGGTGTAACAGACTGTGTTCTGCCAGGCTTGCCTGTGGTTGCTGCTCCGACTTTTTTTCTTCTTCCACAGAACACACATCAGTTCAGAGAGGGGTGGGGCCAAGTCCAGTCAGTTAGTGTCCCCTGAACATAGTTGTGCTATTCACTAAACATTTCTCTGGAGGAGATGTGCCAGTGCTCTGGGAATGACATGGGTTACTTTGTCATAGAGCTGGGTGGTTGTCAGCCTCCAGTGATAACTGATACATCATTGCATAGGCAGCGGTGCTTAGTGCAGTGCTGCTTGTGAGCTTCACTCTGGGAACTGACAAGCGATTGCGAGTCTGAGCTTCTGTCTGGGGCTCTGGCATGAAGACTGTCAATTGGGTGTCTGAGGAACCCTCGGGAATCCCAGTGCTGCCAGAATGGTTTCGCCTCTGTTTATCTGGTAAAGTTCCAATTTTAGTTCTTCACAAACTCTGTTCGATTTATTATCTCCTGAAAGGGAAAATGAAAAAGCCATCAAACGATGAATTGAAGAGCTGACAGTTCCTTCCTTTAATTTTTCAGCCAGAAGAGTTAACTGCCAGTCTGCACAGCTTCAAGAACAAGGCCTTTAAAAAAGCCAAAGTCTGTGGGATTTGCAAGCAAATTATTGACGGTCAAGGAATTTCATGCCGAGGTGAGTACATATTTATCATTCTCTTGCTTCTTAAGCCAAAGCCAAGCAGACAAACAAACAAAAAAACGAAATAAAAAATCTTTCGGGGATTTCCACAAGTTGAAGTATGGAATTCCCCTAGTTAGCCTGTATTTGACCCCCCTGGTCTGGCTGGGCAGGGATCAACTATATTTACATACATACATATGTGCTTGAAGAAGACTATTGCAGAAAGAGCAGGTCTATGTATATGGGAGAGGGGAAGCAGTTCATGATATAATCTTCATCTGTTCTGCTGTGTCAGTAACTCAGTTGATTCAGTTTTTCTTTATGATTTCTTACTAGAGTTTGCAAATGAAATTTTTCTGCATTTCAGAGTCAGGGTTCTTTCCATTGTGATCTCTTATAGCCTGTAGTAAGCACATCATGCCTGCCAGTCAACAGTGTCACCAACATCTGTGTGGTGGTAAACTCCAGGTAACCTGTGCTTCTTGCTATGTTTTGTGCTTGCATTTGTAAATCTGTACGGTGGATGTGTGAGAATGACATCTCATTTCCTTTGAGCCCTAGGATCAGGGTTGGGTGGGTCTCATTACAGAGAGGAAGAAGGTCAGGGGATGTGCCCTGGAAAATGCTTGGGGCTGCTATGTGCCATCTTTCACTGATGTGGTTTGGGGTGTCTTCCCTTGAATGTTTGCAGGGTCCCTTTCCTTCCTGTGGACCTTGTAGATGGTCCTTGATGGCCACTTTGGGATAGGGCTGCAAGGAGAATACCATTCCGGGGCGAACATATGACTCCTTACACAGGTCCTCATAGTCCCTTACACAGGTGAAGGGCCTGAGAACAGGTAGGAGGATACGGGTGTGGCCCTCCCTCTGAAAGTCCTCAGTTGGTGCTGATATTCCCCAGAGCTGTAAGCATGTTGCCAACTTTCCCCCGATTGTCTCTTCAGAAGGTGCTACAAGAATCCTCTTACCTTGTTGACCCCCTAGAAATCTCTGTTTTTGAATTGATACACCTTGAGGCCTTCATCTGCTTCTGGGTGCCTGTGGGCCCTTCTCACCTTCTCCCTGGAGGCAGCCTGTGTGATGGTTCTTCACTTCATCAGGGTGAGCTGTGGGCCTTGTGCACTGGACATGGAGCAACCCCCAAGCATCAATGCGGAATGTTAGGGAGGGCCTGTCAAGGTGGCACGGATGGCATATGGCTGTATGTGCCGTGTGTTGATACCTGCATACATGACATCCCAGGAAGGAAGGGTACTCCTGAGAGCTTCCCTCCTACTCATGAACTTCATGCCATCCACTATTCTATAATGTCTGTGATCTTGCCTTTTGAGAGAAAGAGAACACACAGCTTTTCCTTTTGAAAGAGAAGGGAGAGCAGTGCTCAAGATGGACTAGATGTTCAAGTACTTACCTGCTGTGTGTTACCTAGTGTTGAGAAAGATGCAATGAGGTATGCAGATCTCCAGGTAGAGATTGTACAGGTATAGTGGCGATGATGTCCAGTCACACACTAAAGTTAGATGAATACGATGGCCACTCACTACCTGTCTGTTGGCACCAGAGAACATCAAACATTTTCCCACTTACCCCAGAAACTCTGGAATTCTGATTTCATGAAAGTATTGTGATCTCAGAAGACTTTGATGTGCAGAAAGGTGGCTGGCTTCTGACCTTGCTCCCCACTCTCTGAAGTCCCATCTGACTAATTTTCTTCAACTCCATGAAACTGTACTGTATTGTTTTATCCCATAGGGGAGATACATGCCAGGCCTGCAGAGTTAACTCGACATACTGTGTTCTTTGAAGAAAATAATTCATTAGCAGCTGTCCCATTAAGTGACCTCTCCTCTCAAGCAGGCTTATCTAGCATGTCTCATTTTCCTAAGCAAGGCCACACTGCTACCACCTTTTTGTGCAAGTGCATAGGATTTTGGCACCAAGGCACTGTCTGTATGTGTCACTTTCTAGCACTTGGTTACACTGGTTTGAATGGCTGACTGGAGGGTACACTGGTATAGAAAGATCTCAAGTTGGACTCAAGTCCTGGGTTTCTCACTAACACCCAGGGTAACACTGACTGTGGCAGCGCATTCTGAGGGTATCAGTTTAGCTCTTCCTAGGGAGGAGCAGCTCATGCTCACTGACTTAGTCAGTGGGCTTTCTCTTCTCCCAGGTTCATTTTCCAGTGCGTGCTTATAGAGGATAAGCCTGCATTTCCCTTTCACTCCTTGTCTATACTGGTGTCTCTTAAGACCATGTGCTTCCACTTTGAGCCCTCTCAGCTGGGAGGACACACATATGACTGTCCCTATGGGACCCTGTTTCTTGCTGACAGGGGCCAGAATTGGGGCAGGCTGGGGAAGCTTGTGCACTTGGGTCCCTTAGGACAAATCCCCAGATGGGGCAGTAGGTGGCATGGGGAGGAAATGACAGCAGTAGGCACTTTTGGTGGCAGAGAATTCTGACTTCTGGGGAAGAAGGGGGATCAGTAGTTGCCTCCTTTTGAAGAAGCCATGACCCTGGACAGGTTGATCTTTTCCCTAGTCCTTGGTTTTGTGACCTTTACACTTTGTATATTGAATGGCTGATCTCTAGGATCTGCTCCTTTTGTTGGTAAACTATATAGAAACCATTAAAAAATAGGACATCATTTAGCAGTTTTCTCTCTTTATAGTTTATGTGATAAACATTTTACATGTTGAGCCTGCTTCCCATGTATATGTGCTGCCTGGGAACTACAAAAAATGCCGAGTACTTATCTAAGTGTTCACACACAGAGCTTTGCAAGGTTTTTGTAGAAAGGCCCTTTCTTTGTTTTATTTCTGAAGAAACAACAGGGCCTGGTGAAGGGAGCATGGACTGGGAGACAGTTTGCTAGGATTCCTCCTCTGCCTCTCTGAGCGTGAATTTTCTTTTAGTGTTATTTTGAGTCATTGTGAATAACATATTAAATCCACGTGGAGCATGGGAACATTGACTGGTTCAAGAAAGTGTCCCATAATGTTAGCAATGATAACATTGTTGTTCGTCTTGGTGACAAGAGTGATGATGATGGTGGTGATGATGGTGGTATTGATGGTAAATATGGTGGGTATTACAGTGAGGACAGGGGTAGTGGTGATGGGAGTGTAGTGATGACCATGATGATGATGTGAGGTGGTGATGATGATGGTGGTTGTGATAGTGTTGATAATGGTGACTGTGAAGTGGTGGTGGTGATGATGATGGGGAAAGGTTTGGGTTCTATTCTGTGACTGGGGATAATCCTTTTACTGTTCCTTTTCTTGCTCATTCTTGACCTTCAAGTGTTAGACGTCTACATTTTAACTTCTTAATGCCCCCAAAAGTTTATATGTAACTAAATTAGGGAAAAAAACTTCATTTTTAAAGAAGCTGTTATGCTTACACACAGAGGCATTCTCATCCCTATTTCTGGATCTTACGGGCAGGGAAAGTCAAAGATGGGAATGCTGGTGAGGGATGAAGCTTGAGTGTTGGATTGTGGTTCTCATGCTATTCCAAACCTCACTGCTACTGCTCTGGGCCCTGGGAGCCTGCACTTACTGCTTACTGAGGTCCCTGGGGAGGATTAAATGGTCCAGATTCCACTGATAATCCTTGCACAGATTCAGCCTGGTCACACTTCAGATAAGCCGGTGGAGGGGACTGGTGTGGTGCACGTGGCACTGACAGAGCATTGAGGACTGTGAGGTGTAGGACAGTTGGCCCCGAGGGGAATGTAGATCCAGGGAGGATGTAGATCAGGTCATCAGAAGCCATCCTGTTGGGAGGCGTAGTTTACTTGTAGCTGATAGTGAACAAGGATGAAAAGACTGTAATGGAAAAGAGTGGTACAGAGTAAAACAATGATGTGAGAAAGACAGCTGTGCAGGGGGCTGAGGAAAATGAAAGCCAAGGAAGGAAGCAAAAAGGGAAGCTAGAGAGAACGTGGCATAGGGGAGTTTTGTAAGATTTGATAATGACTTTATACTTTCTGTTAACCAAACCCATATTCAGTCCCTGCTGGAGTAAAAGGATGGGAGTGGTGAGTCTTGTCTTTGAGGACCTCCCAGCTGTGAGTGGAGACCTGTCTGTGAGTGCTCAAAGCCTGTTTGAGACTGTTACAGAGCAACACCTATATAAAATGGGTTGCCTGACTGTGGGTCCTCACCCATGCGCTTAAAGGGGACTTATTAATGCTAAACTGCTGGCACACACAAAAGGTTGATAAAAGGTTTATTTACAAAGGAAAGGGAAATGTGGAAATGAGTAACTCAGGGAGAAAAAGAGGGAGATAAGTTCGTAAGTGCGTCCTACCCACTCCACTGACCTGGAATCCCAATGACCCGCCAAGGTGGCGACAATGCCCAGCGCACCATGTGGCCAAGAGAGCGACAGACCCCCTACCCCCAGCCACTTGACCAGTAAAATACTTAAACAGAGAACATAGTTGCTTAACTCCGCCCTCAGGTCCTTACAACCTTTCCCTTGCTGATCATGGGATTTGTAGTTCCCAGTGTCTTGATGGAGTGGGGGTGGAGTCCACAAAGCCTGTATGGAATTTGATCAGGACATCCTTTCCCCCTAATAATACCAATTACTGTACAAAGTACCAAGTGGTTACAGAGGAAAGTTTGGGGTAGATGTGCAAAGTGACAGGTATCTATAATTTGGTGCTTGCTTTCTGCTGGTGGCAGATAACCAACAAGATCCTGGCCAAGCAGGAAATGTGGTGTGGGCAGGCCCGCCCTCTGCTGTGGGTCTGTGGTCTCTTGTCTCTTGTGTTCAGTTACCAGGGGCACATAGAGGCTGGTGAATTGAGGGTAGAGGTGGAAGAAGCAAAATCACCGCCAGGGCTCATCTCTCACTTGGTAAATATGCCTAGAGTGTTGTATAAAATGTTCTGACAGCTGTAAGACAGTGGCCTAGATTCCAAGCCTGCTGGAGACATTTGGAAGAATAACGGTTCCAAGACAACATGTAACAATGTTGAGGATTCAGAGCCAGACTCTCTGAACAGCTTCTGTTGCAGTGACTTTGGAAACCCCCAGGACCAGTGTGCTTGCCATGCGTCCCTCTCAGATGCAGGTACTGCTGTGGATGCAGAAAAGTGCCCCTTGCAAGTTGTTCCAGTTGGTCTCACAGGAATATCAAAGGGTGTTTACTTAGGGATGAAGATTTAGCAAAATGAATACTTTCTAGTGGTTCCTCAGGACACTCTTACATGTAACTTGCTTTTTTTCCCCTGTGAATGCTTGATGGTGAAAAACAGAATGACTGTTGGGATGAATGGGTGTCATTGCCTCAGTGCCTGTGAAGATGCCAGCAGTTTTGCCCAGCAGTGTTTTTGCACCATCAGTGCAAGTGTGAACACGAGAGGAAAGGCAAAGCATGTGTCAGTGTAATTATGAAAAGTTTGGTCTTGTTGACCCCCTCTCAGGTCTAGGGGATCCCCTTGCCATACTGGCTTAGACTGAGCAGAATGTTCTGAGGACACAGGAATGGCGGGCAGTGCTACACTCAACATAGACTAGGGGAGCAGGAAGTGGGATGAATGCTGATTAGGTAGTGGGCAGTGAGCACAATATTACACAGGAAAGAAGGAATCCTTAAAATCCCTCTGCTTTGTGCCAAGTATGTAATGGTTCTTAAAAGATGCGAGGCGTCTTCTGTTAAGCAGGTTGACTCCCTGATAATTATGAGTGGGTGTGGAGGTGGCAAGAGGTATGAGAAGCAGTTGGTGAAATGTGAAAATATAAAGTAGAATGGACTCAGGATGTTTTATGGGGGCGGTTTGGGCAATCACAGGAGAACCCTGGGTGACGAACACAGGGTCACATGAGGGTTTTGTGGAGAGAAGCCTGGAAACAGAAAACTTTTATTGAAATAGAAAAAAAAATCCTAAAGTGTGTATGGTACCACAAAATATTCCAGAGAGCCAAAGCAATCTTGAGGAAGAATGCTCATGATCCTGGGCCTTCAGAATTAACGGGCTCGCACTGAGGTGTGAGAAAATTGTAATGGAGAGGATCCTGTGAGAAGGAAGGTTTAAAGAAGGGAATTGGTCTGTTTCAGCAGTGTCTTCAGCAGCATCGGTTGGACATGGTGATAGCTGATGCCTGGATAGCATGACAGCCAGTTCTGTTTTCCTTGCGCGTGCTTTACTAGTCCTTTTGTGACCCATTACACATAAGAAAATTGAGTCCAGGGTGTGGGGGGCCTCTGTTCTTCGATTTGGAGGGTGTGCTGATGATTTCAGCAGGAAGAAATTGAACAGGGACCCTGAGGGAGCAAAAGAAAATGCGTAATGGTTCAAGTGTTTAGTTTTTTGTTTTATTTATTTTTTTAAATGAAAGGGCCATGCTTGCCCTTAGGATTAATGGGATTATTTTCACGTAAGTGGAACTAATGAGATTCTGGGTTCATGCAATGAACATATTAGCATGATGTATAAAATTAATGCCATCTAAATTAAAACCAGCAATAATGTTTTAGGAGGCAGTCACAATCTAGTAGCAACTACATAGGGATGGGAACAGACATGGTGGGATTAACATATTGATTTTTATCTGGTAGTGTGGGGCAGAGTCTTTTTGAGTATCTGCATTGTGTTCTACTCCTAATGGTGCTGTTAGATTTTTTAAAAAATGATTTTTTGTTAACTGAGTAATGCAGAGCTGTTCATACAATTGAAAGTTGCCTACTATTTATAAAATTAAATATTTAAAACAAAATACAACAGAAAATTCTAAAGAGTTCACCAAAAACCACAAAAAAAAAAACCTGTTAAAACTAATAAAAGAGTTCAGTAAAGTTGTAGGATGCAAAAATCAATATAAAAATCAGTTGTGTTTCTATATACTAATAATTAACTACTTGAAAGAAATGAAGGAAATTAAAAGAAAGCCCCAATTAACATTAAAAATGATAAAATAATTAGGAATAAGTTTAACTAATAAGATGAAAAGCCAGTATACATTGATGAAAGAAATGGAAAATAAAAAAAAGATATAAATATACACAAAGATATCACATGTGCCAGGATTAGAAGATTTCATATTGTGAAAATATAGTGTCCAAAGTTATCTGCAGATTTGATGCAATTCTTATCAAAATTCCAATGGCATTTTTTCACAGAAATAGAAAATATGTTCTCAAATTCATATGAACCGCACAAAATCCTGGCGAGCCAAAGCAATCTTAAGCATCATACTTCCTGATATCAAACTATACTCCAAAACTGTAGTAATCAAAGTGGTATGGAACTGGCATAAAATAGACATCAGTGCAACAGAATCATCACAAATAAACATTCAACTGATTCATTACAAATTTACCACAAGTATACTGCACTAGTTCTTCACTAAATGGTGTTTCTAAAACTAGATATCCATATGAAGAGAATGAAGCTAAATTCTGAAATTAGACTAGTCACAAAAACTGGATAAAGGTATGAATGTAAGACCTGAATCCATAAAAATTCTGGGAAAAAATCATAGGGAAAAATGGGGCCTCCCCGGTGGCGCAAGGGGTTGAGCACCGCACTGTGAGGCTGTCTGCAGCGTCTGCAGTATGGGTTCGATCCCGGTTGGCCAGCGAGAATCCCACCTGGCACGGCAGACCTCTCCTGTCTCGTCCGCTACTCCTCTCAACAGTGTATTTCAGTCAGTCTGCCTGTTCTGTTCCCCACTCTGTCTCTGGTGAATCCTCTCATCCTCCCGTGCATCTGGCCTGTACCCTGGTTCTTGTATAAATAAATAAAAATCTTAAAAAAAAAAAAAAACCTATTGTGATTTTAAAAAAAATAGGGAAAAAGCTTCTTGACATTGATCTTGGCAGTGAATTTTTTTTTTTTGGATTTTATGCCAAATACACAACTAACAGAACCAAAAATAAACAAGTAGGATTATATTAAACTATACAACTTCTGCACAGTAAAGGAAACAGCCAACAAAGTAAAAAAAACAATCAAATATATATATTTGATAAAAGGTTAATGTCCAAAATATATATGTAACTCATACAGTACAATAATGAAAACCCAAACACTCCAATTAAGAAATGGGCAGAATATCTGAATAGACATTTTAACATTGGTATGTAGCAGATGGCCTCACAGTCTAAGAAAACATGCTCAATAGCACTAATCAGAGAGAAATGCAAATCAAAACCACAATGAGACGTCATCTCACACCTGTTAAAATGGCAATTATCAAAAATATGAGAGTGTTTACTTTGAAGAACATATTTAACTTGTAACGATACAGAGATGATTAACATGGCTCCTGTGCAAGAATAACATACAAATTAATGAAACATATCACATTAAAAAAAAAAGTACAAGAGATAACAAGTATCGGGGAACTGTGAAGAAGTGGGAAGCCTTACTCTTTGTTGATGGGAGTGTAAATTGGTGCAGTCATTCTGGAAAAAAAGTGTTGAGTGTCTTCAAAATATTAAAAATAGGACTACCGTATGATCTAGCAAAATCAGTATTGCAAAGAGATGTCTGCACTTATGTTTCTTGCTGTGCATGCATGTGTATACAGAAATATTATTCAGCACAACAAGGAAGGAAATCTTGCCATTTACAGCAACATGGATGAACCCAGAGTGCATTCTGCTAAATAAAACATAGGGCACAGAAAACATTATAATATTCTGTGGAGTCACTTACATGGAATCTAAAGAAACAAAAATTAGGCAAACAGGTGGATAGTAGAACATAGATAATAGAGCCTGGTTGCCAGGGAATGAGGGGTAGGTAAGTGGGGAGATGTTGGTCAAAGGGAAGAAATTTTCATTTATAATATAAATAACTTCTGGAGATCCCGCATACAGCATGGTGACTGTAGGTAATGACACCATATCATATACTTATAATTTGCTAAGAGTAGATTTTAACTGTTCTCAACACACACACACACACACACAACGGTAACTGTGTGAGGTGATGGATGTGTTAATTAACTTGACTGTGGTAACTATTTCACAACGTAGACATATGTCAAATCATCATGTTGTAGACTTTAAATGTATACAATTTTGTCAATTATACCTCAATAAAATTGAAAGAAAACAAGAGTAGGAACTTTGGCTTCTGAGAAGAGTAGTAAATGAAAGAGACTGATGATCAAGTAAACATATTTGTGTTGCCCTCTTTGTGCCTGTGAGGTTTGGGGATGCATTTTGGCAGGGAGGTTCTGGAACTCTGTGGCTTCCCTTCTTTCTTGGATTACATGGAGAGGTGATCAGGTAAGTAAATCCTGGAATGTGTCTGTCCTGCTGTATCTGGGCTTCTCAAAGTAGGCCTACAACAGATAATAGTACACAGTTGTTTGATGAATGAAATATCATGTCTCTTCACAAATGCTGTCCCCAGTGGATAAAACAGGCAGAAGATCTGTTTCCCTTTCATGGTGCATAGTGAAAACTGAAAATCGCTGCATGGTGGGAAACTGATCCCTGTTGAGCCCGCATAGGTGGGTGCTCATCATCCTGTCGCCTTTCCACACTGTTTGTGTCCTATACAGAATTTCTCCTAGCCCTTTCTACCTGAGTTGAGCCTAGTCAGACTTTGAGATGGTGAACAATGAGATGAATGCTGGAGAGGAAGGTGGGCCAAGGGGCTTTCAGAATAAATTTGGGCATTTAGCCCTGCCTGGGGGTGACTGAGCAGAGGGCTTCCTGATGGAGGAGGAGCTCCTGTCTTCTGCCTTTCAGAAAGAAACAAGTCAGCTTGACACAGAAAGATGTGTGAAAAATTTGAGACTCAGAGTTAGCAGAGCAGGGCCAAGGAGGTGCGTGAGGATGGTGAGTGGGTGCAGGGTTCAGGGAAGGGAGGCCAGGGGAGCTACTGGTCTGGGCCAGGGAGGATGTTAGGTCCATGCTGAGAAACTTGGCTCTTTCTTATGTGGGCAAAAGGACTGGAATCTATCCTGGACACTGTCTGCTTCAGTGTTTATAATATGTCAGAAAGGCGGTATGTGACTGGGTGAGAAGCTGGGGCCCTGACTTGGCCCAGTCACCCTCGCAGTTTCTCCTTGATGGGGTAGCTGTGAGGATGGAATTCATTATGTGCTTGGGAAAGCGTCTTGCTCAGAACCAGGCCCAGGTCCCGTAGTGCGGGCAGTTGTCATTCTGAGGGAAGCCCAGCGTCCATCCACACTGCTGCTGTGGGGTGTAAAGTCCATCGCACTTTGGGAGTCACCTACCCACACCCCAAAACAATATCCACCTCTTGGGGGTCTTAGCCACAGCATTTGGGTGGTTTATGTGATTTCATGATTAGTTGACCTTTGTGGCTGAGAGGGTCTTGTCTGCACTGGCCCATGTCAGTGCTGTGCCCTAGTAGATCATCCACCATGATCTACTTTTACCTTCGTGGCTGTATTTCCACTGACCTAAGCCCTTCTCAGGGTGCCTTGGCTGATTCTATTAATTATCTGCTGCTTTATAAAAAGTTGCCCCTTAAGTTAGAACCTTAATAGGAAAATAACTTCTGTCATTTCTCACTGTTTCTGTGGGTTAGGGATTTGGGAATTTTGTGGCTGGACTCTTCTGACTCAGGATCTTAAGAGCCTGCATCACCTGAAGCCTGGCTGGGGCTGGAGGGCCTGCTTCCACGGTGGTACCCTCACGTGGCTGTTTGTGGGGGCTAAGCAACTCCCACATGGGGGGCTTTAGTGTCCTGACTACAGGGCATCTGGCTCTCATCAGAGAGGTGATCCCAAGACTTGAGGACAAAGTGCCAGGCTGTGCCTCCACCATTCTGCATCATCATGGAGACAGGTCCGATCCCCCGGTGGAGGGCACTGCATGTGGGCGTGAGTATCAGGAGCATGACTGATGCCACCTGGGCGACTGACACTGCATGGTGACAGGTGCCAGTCTCAGCCTGCTGAGCAGACCAATTGGGTCGATTCATTGGGTGTGGTTAGACTACCTGTGGGGCCGGGGGAATTCTTCACCTGGATTTCTGCTAGTTCTCCCTTACCCAAAAGCCAAGGGCCGCTCTACAGCCCTCCTTTTTATATTGCTCTTTCCTGATGACCCCCAGCCCCTGGGTGTTTTCCTGTTTCTATTTTCAATCTGGCCTGAATGTCCCATTTGTTCCAATGGTGAGTCGACCTTGATTATAAAATCACTGACCACCTTTTGGGTATACCTAGTAGAAGATGTAGAATAAATGTTTGTCTTTGTGAATCATCTGAAAAACCAGAGGCATAGGAGTAATTAAAAAAGTAGATCTGGCAAAGGTAACTATTTCACAATCCTGGCTCTATTCTCCTTGATGTCCAGTGACTGCAGGCCCCCAGCCAGTCACAATGACTGCCGTCCACCATCTGTCACTTTGTCTGTTTTGTCCACCTTGAATCTTACATGCATCTTTCTGACTTGGTATGTCTATCCCCAGCTCACAGAAAGGAGAGAAATGTATGGGGAGTGAAAAATTGAAATGCTTAATCACAATTTGCGGCCTGTGTCCTAACCCCCAAGTCCTTCTTCTCCTGGGACTCTGTATACTTCTGAACATTAAGACTGCTTTGTGGTTTAAAGCAGGTCCTCTAATAGTTGATGTGGCACTGTAATAACCCTGGGAGAGGGATGAGGCCCAGAGAGGTGACTTGCCTTGCCTAGGGCAGTCCAGCTGGACAGGAACAGATTGCTCCTGGGACACATATACCCCATCCTAGGTACCTTTCCATCATCCCAGAGGTATCCCCGTTGGCTCATGTGGGGAAAATACATCAGGTGCCTTCAAGCCTGAAATGGGGAGGTTTGGTGCCATCACTTTATTCCTCAGTATCTCCCTGTCCTGCCATCCTCTGTGCCTGGAAACATTGGCCAGGCGGGCCTGTGTGCCTGGGGCGGCTGTAGGAAAGGGGTGACAGGCTTTTATGTGGTGTCAGCACAGCTGCAGCCGCTGGAGGGGCAGTTCTGTGAAATCACATCGGTTCCGGCTCTAAATCTGCATTGTTAGGTTCTCAGAGCCGACACACTCTTCTCTCAGTCACACAATGGCCCCAGTGGGAGGATCCTGCAGGAATTTAGACATGGATTTACTCTGACAGGCTGTTCTTGGGTTATCCGGAAGTGGAAGGAGTGTGGAATTCAATGCGCCACTTTCTCATTAAAGTAGACTCCGGTCCGGATTCTTACGGTGCATTTTCAAGTTTCTTTTCTTTCTTCTGGGACAAGCTATAATTTCAGGCCAATATTGATGCTTTTTACTGCCTAGAGTTACCACATTTCTGCTTCAGGGATTCCATTTGGCTGCATGTACCCTCGAGAAACTGATCTGTTTGCACTCTGCTCCTCAGAAGTCTCTGCCAGGAAGTCCCCACCTATGTCCTCAGGAGGGGCACTCACAGAACCCAGTGACTGGGCTCCTGTCACCATGTCACCCTGTGCTCTGTTGCAACTTGACATTGTGTCATAGGTGAAAAACCTCTCTCAATCAAATTTCCAAGGATTGAGAGAGTTTGGAGATGCAGAACTATCACTGCAGACACTGCTTAACATGCAGTTTTTTTTCTCTCTCTTTCTTCTAGCCTGCAAGTATTCCTGCCACAAGAAATGTGAAGCCAAGGTAAGGCTTGTGCTGCTTTCCCAGGGGGCTGCTCATAGCCAGATTGGCCTTCGATTAATGATATGCACCAAGAAGGGGACAGCTTTGGACCATGGCCCCAGAAATGAAACTCTTAAGAAGTGTCTACTTGATGCTTTCCCACAGGGTATATACTTTTCATCTCAGGAATAAGCTGAGGAGCTATGAAATCCATGTTTTTAATTATAGAAAATAACTCTGAAGAATTTGGTTTCAGATAAGAATTCAGTAATTTTGTTCTGGCTGCGTCACAGTCCTTTCTCCATGACAAATGATCCCTTGTTTCTAATTACTCAACAAGCTGCTTTTTTGGGGGCAGAGAGAGGGTTGGGCTAGAAATCCAGGGCATAGTCCTGGCCTTGAGGATTTCTCTGACTTCTTTTAGAGGGTAGTTGTTCATAGATTGTGTGGGGTTTTCTGTTTGTCATGGGAAGCTGGGGGTCCTGCCTCAGGGAATAGTGGCACATTCCCTGGGGAGCTTACATTGCTGAATGGCCCGCAAGAAGCACTGGAGGCTTGGCTGTGCTTAGGTGGGTGTGGGAGCCTGAGTAGGAGGCCTGGAAATAGTGTATGGGGCGTCACAGCTACTCCTGGGGGTAGGGAGGCTCTGGTTTTGTACCAGGATCATGGGATCTGTGCCTTCTATACTCCCTAGGCACAAGGTAACCCTACTGGTGCCAGAGAATGTGCAACCTTGTGCTGACTGGTTGGCCTGCCTTGGTGGCAGATATCCCATAGGTGATCCTGTGGCTGGAAATCCTGAGAGACGGGGTTTTAGAGAGCCTGGTGATTTTGTTGCTGTGGTTAGTGATTTTGGAGCATTTTCCCCTGGCCCTCATGCTCTGAGCAGAGGAAGTGCACGCTGGATGTGGACTTCTGTGTACTGTGAATTGGCTTCATCTGGGCATGTTTGACATGTGAGGACTAGGGGACCTGCTTTCCCACCCTCTCTACCGTATACACAATCACACACACTCAATAGGGTCCCATATGCATACATGCGCACACAATAACTCACACAGGTGCACGTACTTCACACTCATGGAGGTACACACTCGGTTCACACTAATGCACGCATGCATAGATATGCACACATGTGTACATGCACACATCGCACACCCCCCTATGGCCACACACATGCAGTTGAAAGAACCATTAGCCAGTCCAGCCCTAAGTTTTTTCAAGGAAAAGATTAAATGGTTTAGGAAAAAAACTTTTCATTGCAAAGAACATGGAACACTCGTACTGTCCCCAGCTCCCAAGCTGGTCACCCTGCCTGCCCTCTCTCCTTCTTCCAAGGTGTCACATAATGTGCATTTCTGCCCTCCCTGTGGTCTTGCTGTGAAGAAGGCTTCCTCTTTCCGACTGAGCGAGGCACTCCTTGCTCATAGACACAGTTGATTGCTAGTCAAGCTTTATCTTAGGTCTGTGCTGCCCACAAATATGCTCAGCTCTTGGATGTGCTGTGTGCTTTTAATCCAAGTGACTGTATTAAAGAGATCCCTATGTGGTGGAGAGTTGGAAAATACCACCTTGGGGAGATTTGGATGAGTCTCCCAGACCCTGAGTATCTCAGTTGTAGAGAGCCTTGTCTTGCACAGCTTGTACCGCACACCCACAGTAGGGCAGACAAGGGAGAATGTCCCAAAGGTGCTACCTGTCCTGTGCCGGCCCTGTATGTCTGTATGTGGGTGCACATGTGCACACATGTGCTCATGCATGTGTGTACATGTGTGCATGTGGGAATGTGTGTGCATGTGCCTGTGTGTGCCTCTTCTTGTAACAGTGTTGCTGTCCCAGCCCTTCCTGACCAGCTGCTGCAGCATTGAGCCTGATGCTGTTACACTGTTTCTTAATGGGGACCCAGCCCTGCCTATTTCTGGGATTGAATTCTTTGGGTTAAAGGATATTCTAAAAGTCATACCTCTCACTAATTCTGGTATTTCACACTGCAGGAATGGGCAGTTTTTGGGAAAAACTTTTACTCTTATTGGATAGTGACTGGGGCAGGATCGGGGGGAATAAATTACTATTCATGTTTTTCTGTAAGGTGGTTCATAGTGGCAGGAGCAACAAAAACAACCCCTCTTGTCATTCTTAAACCATCATGCTAAGGCTGTGGGGGATAGAAAGGTTCTAAATTCTCAGCTGTCTCTGGAAATGATGTAAGTGGGGGGGGGGGTCAGCTCTGTCTCATGGAAGCCACATTGTGATTCTCCAGATGTTTGGGTACTTGGTTACTGCTTCCATGGGCTCCCTAAACACAGGCACACCTGATTTTATGGGGGATGGGGAAGATTGATAAAGAACACAGGCTCTCGCCTAAGGTCTCCTTGATCAGGCTGCTTACTGACTTGGGGGTGGCATGCTCTGTGTGGTTTCCTCTGTGAGGAGCACCCCCTTTGCTTGGTACATAACCAGAGCTTGTTAGTATATTAAGGTGTAGTGAACCCCACTGCCTTTGTCAGCACTCTGTTGCCACCACAGTTACCATCAGAGGCTCCTGACTCGGCTGGAGAGGGCCCTTCCATGGACTGGGAGTTGTGGGAGAGCCATGCTGCAAAAATGGCTCAGGGGCCTCCAGACAGGGAAACTGAGTCAGAGGTGGGCCATGGGGCTCCTTCTTCATGTGTAAATGGGTGAATAACATTTCCTATGATCTTGTGATTGTTGCTAGCTGTTGATTATGATATAATAGTTATTTAGGCTTTGGGGAAGTCAAGGTGTGTATAAATATTGGAAAGTTTGGAATTCCAGACATTGTGCTTTGCGGGTGGCTATGCTTGCTCATGGAACCACTTGAGCTGTTCAGGTATTGTGACTGGGGTTTTTCCTGGCTGATGGTTTACTCATTGACAGGAGGAAAAAGGAAGTAGGAGAAATAAAAGCTGTTTTAGGAGGCAGGCCATGGAGCATTGACATGGGGCTGGGGAGGACAACTCCTGGTAGTGTTTGCCAAATATGGCAAAGGGAGGGTTCCATTGAATTTTGGTGAGTAGCGGAATCACAATCTTGTCACTGATGCTCCGGGCACATCCCATCTTGTCTGTCTCACAGAGGCACTTGCTTTAGAGGAATGGTCAGTTCAGGATATCTGTATGACCTGGAATCATCAGCAGTTATATATATCTCTGGGTAGATTCTTTTAAACCCGAGGCCCTGCATAGGGACAGACAGGGCTGGCAGAGCTGGTGGGCACAGGGTGTCCCAAACAACTCCTGACTGGCTTAGAAGGTGCCTATGTCCCACCCTCACCTGCACAGCATGCCTCCCAAAGCCAGCTCTCCTCACTTCTTTCTGGGTACATCTGGATGGCACTCTCATTGTTCAAACAGGACTCAGGTGCCCCCCAGCTCGGTGAGGTGGAAGCTCGGTTTCATCAGGGAGAGGTGCCAGGCCTTGTCCAGCTCTGACTCCTGCTTGGGCCCCTGCTTACTGGGTCATTGGTGTGACCACCACGTTGTCTAAGCTGGGAGAAATGCCTGCTTCCCTGCTACCTGAAGCAGAGCTCTCTGCCCTGGCCATGCTGTCTCTGAAGAGTCTGATCAGAGGGGCCCTGACTGTGCCCCAGGAACCCTGAACCTCTTCTGCCTCAGTCATCCTGGACCTGCTTTTTTACTGCCTTCACTGCCTCTCAGCTGTGAGCTGAGTTCTGGCTGTGTTTGGTGCAGGGACCTCGCAGATAGTCTGGCTGTCTTCTAGATGACAGCTCTCCGTCATGGGAGTGTGAGTGAGGCCCATAGTCTATGACTTCCTCAGAAATTATTGCAGATGTCTGTGCTGGCTGAACTGACTTAACCATTAACTTACATGCCTGGTAATTAATCTTTACCTTCAGATTAGCTCTCCTCTCCAAACATGAGCCATAGCTTCCTACTTGGGACCCACTGTGTCTGGGGGTTGTCACGGGGTCCCTCATCTCACTGGATGAGCAAATGGAAATCTGGGAGGAGAAAGCACTTGCCTGCTGTCATACAGCTTCCATGTCCAGTGTCCGGGGTGCAGGACGTCCGAAGACTGGTTTTGCTGATCCAAGGGTTGGATAGTGCTTAGAGCTCTTCAGGTTTTAGTGGTGGGGCTGCTGTTGGCCTGAGCACGCCCTGCTTACCTGACTCATCTGGTTCTGCTGCCGCCAAAATCCTCTTAACTCCAGCCCTGTGGCCAATTCCCCTGAAACATGGATGGGCTCAAGCATCACAGCCCGAGGCTTTGGGGTTCAGGCCCTCCTTGGGCTATGTCTGCTTTTATCCCCATGAAGGACACCCTGAGAACTGATGACCAGCCCCTCCCAGGGCTTTGCTCACGTCTCTGTTGACCACTGAAGTCTCACCCCCTTTCCTTCAGTGACAACTTCTCTGAGACCCTAGTCCTCCCTGGAGACATAGCAGAAACAGGGTCTCTTCTGCTACTTGCAGCTCCCAGTGCACAGAGGTGGACCTGAGTTGTTAGGAACGTTGAGTCCAAGGGAACTCCTGCTGCAGCTCAGAGATGTTGCTATTAAAGGAGTCAGAGGAGGCCTGAGTGCCAAGCTGCAGTCATGGAACTCCTGGTGCCGCCCCACCTTTGTGTCCACGCCCCCAGGGGCTCCAAAGCCCTCACTGCCCAGAAGCCCACCAGCCAGCCCTGCTCTGCCAGGAGCAGTGTCGTCCTTCCCGCAGCTCCAGGGACCTTACCCTCTGCCTCTGCGGCACATTAGTGGAGTGAGCATGCCATGGGTGTGGGTCAAAGGAATCAGTCTGGTGGCACTTGGTGCACTCAGGAGGCAGGGAGGCCTTTATCCTCTGTGGTATCAGTGTTCATAAGAGGACCCAGAACTTTCCTAGAAACAAATGACCTGAATTTGTTGGTAAAAAGGGAGAACTGAGAAATTTTTCATAGAAGACAGCTTGCTTTTGAGGTTTTCTGTGCTCACTGTTTCCGGTTCCCACCTATATACCCTGTGGTTTTAGGCAGCATGATAATGGATCTTGGCAATCCTACAG